GAGGTGAGAAAGCAGCGTGGGGTGTGGAGAGTTCTCATGAAATCCGCTCAAAAGGGTGTACCACACTTAAATAAGAAATTGTGATACTGAAGGGGTAGTACGAGGATAAGGAATAGGTGAAAAGCCCAGGACAGAAATAGAGGTATCACATTTATTTAGCAGACAATTGGTCAAAGGATCGACTTCACTTGCCACTTTGATGAGTTGTAGTGTGGTGCTAAGACTGGCAAGCCTCACTGACGATGCTGGAGAAACGTCTGGGAATGTACCACATCCATGGTCCGACTGGAAATTATCATGCATCCTATAAACTTCGGAATAGGTGCATTCCTCTAGGTCTTCCTACCAATATGCTAAGTTGCGATCATAAAAAAGGCCACATCATCTTGGTCTTCAGATCTTCGATTAAAATCTCCTATTGTTCAGCTTTGCCTTATTATTCATCCTTTTAGGGAAAGCGTTATCTAAGCGGTATTGGGTCAGCCTCTCGCAATACTCTTTACCATCTGCATAACGGCCGGGATGTTATTCTTCTTACTACATGTCGTCATGGCTACGATTGGAAGAGGTTCGCCGACGATCGTTGTGCCATAGACATGGATAATTATGACAGGTGAGGTGATCATTCATTTCTACACCATTTGCTATTCCTCCCAACGTATGACATTGAGAATCATTCACTCAGACTTTCCAGAATAATTCTAGCTTTAAAAGTAATTTTGTTTATCTGAACAATCTGCTAATATACCTATTCGTATTGTGACTTTCTGCTTCTTTAACGCAATTATTGTTGCCGCAAAACAATTTTGTTGGTTGGGGATTCGTTTTCACGAATTAAGTGGAGTTTACGAAGCGCGATTTTGGGGCAAGATTGAATTTCTTTATTTCATTAAAAAGTAAAATTCCAAACTTTTATATTTGAGTAAGGTCCCTTAAATATTATCTTATTTATTAACATTTATTGTGATTCATTCTCTTACATACAGCAAAAATCCTCATTCATAGTCGGCCACGTTT